AGAGTGAGTGGATGTGTGTGACAGAATGGAAAACAAAGAAGGTTTCAGAGTGGATTAGGCTTCAGTTAACATACTTATAAAAAGAGCTTTCATATTTTACATTGGAAACTAAGTACTTCAATAAGGAAGATATCATGACAGTAATAATTCAGAATTACAATGTAAAAAATTAAAACTTTACATTTATTAAATATGAAAGTTTAGAAGTTCTTAATAATCTGTGAAGAATCAATTTCAACAGGACTATTCAAATCTGCAGTTTCTGCAGCTGATGTGTGTGACTCACTGATAAGCTAAGTTCAAAAGCATGGTGTTTAGACCTTATAATGCATGAAACAGAAGTCTCTTTATCCTCCTTCACACACGTCAATTTAATTTTCAGAGTCAGTCATAAATGATGAACTAAAGCAGTGAATTTAAGGCAGCCTATGTAACAGACTGGTGCTTCTCTCACACTGTGCATTGCTCCCTGTTAACCTGATCAGAGAGCGGTCCTGCAACCATCCTCTTTTCACCCAAGATCCCCGAAGTACAGATCACTGTCTTCCCGTCTCTTCTTTACCTGATTCCATCCCAGAAATCTTGGATTGGTCCTACAAGTGCAACATATATGCTCTACTTTGGCACTGTGCAAACAGCTCTCCTTCCTTCCTCCAGCTTTGAAGGAGAAGAAAAAGACAAAGCAGCACAAAATGAGAATTCAACGCCCAGCAAATACCAATAATTTGGTATTCCAGCTACATCGAACAGCAGCATCGCCACAGCACCCATATACTAGACTAGACATCAAGACATACAGCTGGAAAACATCATATATACTTATAAGCCTGCATAATAGTAGGAAAAATACACCACCAGTTTGAAGTAGTGGAATCCTATCAAAGGGAAAATAGATCTTTGCCCATTAAAAACCACATACAACTGTGCTGAGAGCAAAAAAATTTATTGGTCCTTTAGATTTCCAATGATTGCTTGTATTATGTTCAGTAAATTCATTAAAATATTACAAAGGATACCTTTTCTTCATTTGCAATGTTAGAGCTAGCTTAACATTCAGTGGAAATGTAAGGAATAAAAGCAAAAAAAAAATAATCTTCAAATTATTAGTGAAATACATAATTATTTTTTCCTATTTCAGCAAAACACTTGCAAAGAACTGGGTTCTGTGCTCAGTACCCATCTTCCATGAAGAGGACTCTCACATACTCACAGAAGGCACTTGAAATTCCTGGAGGCTGGGATGTCAGGAAGAGGAGAGGCCAGCTATCACTTGGCTAACAATACGCTCATTTTTAATAAGTGCAATACTGGTATAAATTCAAATAGCTACAAAGCATTAAGATACAAAAACTTAGCTAGACATGCTAACTAAATAGCTGCAAAGCTGGAGTACAACAAATCCTTCGTGTCACTGTCACCATTACTCATCATCTCCACCACAGAGGAGCAGGAGTGCTTTCCTGTAGTCCCCAGATGTATCTTTCTGTTAATATAACAGACCAGTCACCATGAGTCACAACCACAGAAATGAGAAGAAAAGCAGCAGCCAAGGAGGTTTCCAACAGATTATACATTTGTCCCACCCACAGGAAATCCACTTGGATGACTCCCCACTCAGGAATGAAGCAAGGAAATTCTCTGTCTCTTAGGTTAGAGCTATATTTACACAGACAGACTGTCAGAAACACAAAAAGCCTCCAAAAGCTTTCCTAGAACTGAACTGCCCATAGCATGTTGGAATGCATTCATCTGCAAATGTGAATGCAAACAAAGGAGAAGCCCAAAGCAGCACCAAAAGCAACAGCCTTTAAATGTGCAAAGTGCACCTGCCATCACTTAGAAAGACCCCAGCCTCGCTCCCTGTAATTAATGGGAAGCTCACGACAGCTGTATGGCCTGACAGCATCAAAAGGAACTCCACCCAAATTAAGAGAGCATAGTGTCAGGAAGGATAACAGAAAAACAAAATAAAATACCCCAAAAAAAAAAAAAAAAAAGAAGGCATTTTGGCTTCAACTTTGCAGCAAGAGCTGGCTCTAGATTTCTCGCTGGCTCTTTTCCTTCCCATCCACTCAAAGGAGATTGTGATTCAGACAGTGATTCCACAACGAAATGCTTTCCACTTTTAAGTGGAAAAAAGTTCCACACCACAATCCAAGACTTAAACTTTAACCTTGTGATAATTCAGACTCCCAACCCCAATACTATTGCTCTGGATCCAGCACCCTCTCTGAAGCACTGAAAATCAGAAGGAACCCAGAGAAGAAAAAGGAAGTGAAGCAGCAGCTAAAAATGGTGTATGAGTAATCGTAATTTCAGAAGACCACAACTACTCTTCTAGTGAACACTGGAAAGAAACTTTTAGCTTGTCATATCTCCCACTTAAATAATACCATGTGGTACTTCACCAAACTGCAGCCCAACCACCGCTGCTCTCAGGGTGCACTGTGTTGTCCAGCTCTACTCACATCTGCCCCCCTTCCAGTGGAAACAATGACTTCTCAATCACCCCTCCTTTCCCTGACACCAGAACAGTAATTTTACCTGAATCATTTGGTACAATGATTTCGCAAAATTCTTTCTGAATTCTTGTCTAATATCCAACAGATCAATTTCACTTCTTGAAACCATGACTCTGATCAGGGTCTCGTCATCAGTGCCAGCCCCCTAAAGAGAAAAGTTCAAATAATATTAAAATACGAGTTTATTCTAGACAGATGCTGTAACAAAACAACGAATACAAACCAGGGTGTAACAAGAAAGCAAGTGGTGTCTCAAAACACTCCTGCATTACATTTCTACTCCAAAACAGAGAATATTTGGGACAGTATCACAAGACATTCACATTGCAATGTGGAGAACAGAGGACCAACCATGCAAGGTGCTCTAAGCCTTGGACTTCTATGAAGTGCCATACGGTCAGACCTCTTATTTCATGTTTCATCGCACAGGCTTCACCTGTGAATGCGTGTATAAATTTAAAATAATCCATTTCCAAGATTACACAGTAGTATATCTGTTCACTACAATCAGAATTACATGAAACTCACCCTTTCAATGTAGTCTGAGACTGCAGAAGTGCAGTCAGTTCTGGCACTGGGTACATAAATCCTTGCAATGACTAATACAAAGCATGTGACATCGTACAGCAAGACACAGGCAGAGCAACTCATTCCACAAATTATCCAGCTGTTTATTATGAAGCTAAACTTCATAAACTTTTTCCAACCACGCAAACACACTCCACTCTTTTTATGAATAAAAATATTGCTTTAAATAATTTTAAGTTCCTGTGCTGGCTGTGCCAGACTAACATCCTGGCCCCTCCTGCTCAGACAAGCCAGACTCCACACAAGCTGAAGCAATACAGATTTTCACATGCTGACCTGCTAATGCACCTCAAGGAAGGACTTGGCAGAGCCCCCACGATCATCTTCAGCCTAATGTCCAGGGTCACTCAATCCTTCGACTGGGTGTAATATTCTTGGATTACATCTAAAAATGCCCTAAAGCTGCTCAAAAGTTATGCCATGAGTCCAGTGGTTTCTGAGTAGGATTTGACATTAGAATCTGGTGACAGCCAGGCTCTGCCCCACCTAATCATGAAAGCAAACTCTGCACATTGTAGAACTTTATCATGCCAAACGGATAAATTAAAGTACAAGCTCTTCTGCCAAAGTAATAAATGATTATAATCTTTCTTATCTGAAGTGCTTAATGATTTTTACTTATATTAAAAAAATAATTGTGGATCTCATCAGCAGACGTTAGTCAGGCCCCTTGTAACAGAAATGTGAAAGATTCTAAAACCTACAGAAAAAGATTTTCTATTGCATTATTTAGAAAATAAAAATTAATAAATAGATAAATAAGAAAAAAGTAATCCTCCTCATCCAGCTCAGCATACTGGTATAATACTTAGTGTTTTCCACCCAAACCTTATTTTACACCGATGTCTATAAAAGCAGTAAAGCAGCTTTTAAAAATTAAGCTATCATTTAATCTCTTCTCACTAATTCTCATACTGATACTTCATCAACACAACCATCTGGTGACAAACATAGTTCAGTGCTTTCCAGCAAGGGGAGGGGAGGAATTCTTCAGGGAAGCTGATAACTTGCCTGAAAACAATAGACTACCTACCTCAGTTTTAATTAATATTAGCCACTGAGAGTTAAAAATACAGTTTCCCTGCTTATCTCTTCCCATCCAAGAGCAGGCAAAGCCAACAGAAACACAGCTGTGTCACTGACGGGATTCCCCTGTAGAATCTTTTGTAGCTGTTTAAGCCTCTTTTTTCTCTGGCAAGTTTCCTTTCCTCCTCACAATGGGATGGATAGGCATCAAATTTGTTTCAGAGCTAACTACATCTTCAGTTTGTAAATATCTCCAAAACAAAGAGCACTAAATCTGCACAATCTCTAGTTTAGTTTGGGTCATCTTTACTTCATAAATATATCCACCACCTAAAGACACTGTAGTCTTTATTTAGCTGAAGGGGCCCAGTTGATCTAGCCAGACATTTTCCAATGTAACAAGTCCAAAACCAGCTGAAGGGACTGATGTTTCCTGTTAAAGATTTATGGTCTGACAAACTTACAACGAACCTGAAGTAAAGCTTATGAAACATTTGTATCATGTCCCAGACCTACATTCCCCAAACCTTTTGCAGATGCTTAGTGATACAGTATCCTCTTGGCATTTGCAGCAAAAGAAGAAATTAAGAACAAGTGAAAGGGAGACAAATTGTAGCCAGGAGAGATGGAAAGTGATGTATGGAAAACACGCACATACCTTCATGGAATAATAGAGAGTCTCGGCAAAATAGGCAGGCACATTTCGGATACATTTCACTGAAAAAAAGGAAAAGGATTAAATTATTGATTGCTATTCAATACAGGACAATCTTTCACCTTTAACACGGTGGTGCGTTACTGGATCATTCTCTCCAGCATGGACAATTAAGTACACAGCTGCCATGTAGTCTGTTCCTCTGAGACAACTCTTTGCATTCTAGGAGTCAGAATGTACCATATACCTCTGACAGAGAGACCGTGCTACTCAAATTTACTCCCATTTACAAATCTACTACGACATTGTCCTAAGTGAGATCCCAGGAACAGGAACGAAGGCAGAGTTCTGTCCCACTTTCTGACAGAGGTGCTCATGACTCAACAGAATGCAGCTCACCACCACCCCCTGCCACACTCACCTATTAAAGGAAGAATAAAGGTTTATTCTCTAAATACAAAAATAGTTCCCAGGTGATTAACTTTAAAAGGAACCATGTTTTCATGCCACTTCCTGTAACAATTGCAATTGAAGAGAAGGCCTGTGAGTAAATGAAGAAGGTCAGTTCTAGATCTATTAAGACTTAATTACCAACTGCCAAAAGCAGCTTCTCCAAATCACCAGAGGTTTCACGGTCAATGGTCTCTTCAATTTGAAAGCCGGAAATAGTCATGTATTTGTCAAACACTGCAAAAGAGAAAGTGTGCTCAGTCACACGTATAGCCAGCATTTCTCCCAGTACAAGTTAATCCCTCTGTATCTCATTTGCCACTGTTCAAATGCTACCATCCACTCATTCTTCCCTCTGTCCTGTTTTAAACACCTATTTCCTGCCAGATTGTTACTATACAACACATTCCTATACCTGGGGAGGAACAAGCCCGTGCACCAGGTACAAGCTAGGGGTCAAACACCTGGACAGGAGATGTGCAGAGAAGGTGCTGGGGGTCCTGGTGGACACCAAGTTGAACATGAGGCAGCAATATGTCCTTGTGTCAGCGGCGGTGAATGGGATCCTGGGCCCCACTAGGAGGACTGGTGCCAGCAGGTTGAGGGAATTGATCCTGGCCTCTGCTCAGTGCTGGTGAGGCAACATTTGGAGTCTGAGGTCTAGTTCTGGGCTCCCCAGTACAAAAGAAACATGGAGCAACTGGAGCAAGTCCAGCAAAGGGCCACTAAGGGGATTAAGGGACTGGAGCATCTCCTATGAGGAAAGGCTGAGAGAGCTCGGACTGTTCAGCCTGGAGAAGAGAAGGCTCAGGGCAATCTCATCCATGTCTACAAATATGAGAAGGGAGTGTGTAAGGAAGAAAGTGCCCAGTGCCAGGACAAGACGCAATGGGAACAGAAGGTTCTGTCTCAAGATCAGGAAACACTTTTTTACTTTGAGGGTGACTCAGCACTGGCACAGGTTGCCCAGGAAGGTTGTGGAGACCTTGGAGATGTTCAAAAGCCCTCTGGACACAGTCCTGAACAGCCTGCTCTAGGTAGCCCTGCTCAAGCAGGGGTGGACAAGATGACCTCCAGAGGTCCCTTCCAACCTCAGTCATTCCGTGAATGCATCCAGTGAAAGGCATTTTTCCCAGGGGGCAGCTATCATTTAGCCTGAATCCAATATCTTGTCTACACTGGGCTCCTTCATCAAATACACTTCACTCAAAGGAACTGGCCTATTGGCAGTCTATTCGAGTCTGTGTACGTGAATATCCAGAAGACCCGAGTCTTCTATGAAATCTTACTTTTCTATTATGCTAAGTAAATGTTGGATGCATCAAAACAAATTCTGGGATTACTCTAATGCAAAAAAATAATTGTAAAAAACTAAACAGTAAAATCACAAAACAAATTACCTTTGAAAATACAAATGATTCCAAAGACTCAAAAAGAAAAACAAAGAGACTGCAGAACCAAAGCAAAACTTAGTGGCCGTTATTTCCAATGGCCTCATTAGCTTGGTAAAACAGACTTATGAATGGGTAAGGAGCAGGAAAAAAAAATATTGTTTCTTTACTAACAGCTAAGAAGTTATGCGCCTATAGAAAGGCTGATCTTTTCAGCCTGGATCTCCATCAGGTTATGATGACTCATTACAGACTCTCAGAATCTCTTCTGTTGCCATGACCTCTTTCAAAGGAAAAAAAAAAACAAAACACACCAACAAAAAACCAAACAAGCAAGCATCCAGAAAGAAACACTCCAGCTGTCCCTCAGATCTACTGCACCACTTCTTCAAGCAGAAGAACACCACTACTATGGGGGAACCGAATTACAGGAAACAAAATTAAATGTATGAAGTAGAGGGAAGAGGCGACTAAAGATTTCTGGGCCTGACAAAAGCAGTATCAGAAACAACTTTTCTACCATTTCTACCACCAACTGGGTAACACTGAGACATCAGAAGAAGTTTTTAGTTATATGTGAACTATACTACCTACCCCTCCTTAAATGGGAAACACTTCGGGTTCCCAAGATGGTGATGAACTTTTCTTCATCTGTTCCCCATTTCAGCTCCCCAGCACGAAACAAAACCTGTTGTAAATTCAAGAGATCAAAACAACAGCATTTGTTAGGTAGCCACACATCCTGTTGAAAACCTCTATCTGTCTTGAACAGCATCAAAGTAACAAGCTATAGCTGGAGGGGAAAAAACAAAACAAAACAGAAAATTGCCAAGTACTGAATTGATTTTAGAAAGAAATAAATGATAAATTCTGAAATCAACTATGAAAGCATTTACATGAGTAATTCCGCTTAAGACCCTAAAGTTGACTGTGCATATAGTCCCTCTCAAGCCTAGAGTTTTCTGAAACCATGATAATACAGGAGGTAGAATCCATTCCTAATGCTGCTTTTTTTTCCTACCCCTTTTTCAAACCAGACTAGCAAAACTTTATTACATGATGATTCACCTCAATGGGAGAACCACACTAACTTGGCTCAGGAGGAAGTTTTCCAAAAAGGAAGGGAAGATGGATTTAGAAGCTCTCTGAAACAGGATTTGTGGGCTGCTAAATTCTGTATGAAACCAGATCAGCCACAGATTTTAATCATTTTAGCACATTCATGGCCCTTCGGGCAAGTCTTTCTTCAATGCAAACAATGACTGGGCCATTATGAGCATTTAGGAAAGTAAAACACTTCTAGAAGTTGGAATAACCAACAGGAGGGGGAAAATGAAAAAAAACACCCTTCAGAAAATGAAATTAGTTCTTTTTCCTAACACTCAGAAACCTTTTTCCAAATCATGTGCTAAACACCACACAAGAAGAAAGGTTTGTAGATATCACGGTGTATAGCTTTTTTATCCCTTCTCAGGGAGCAGAGGACAGGCAAACCTATGTTTGGGCAATCAAATATTTCCTAAAAAAATCCACACAACCAAATCTGCTGCACAGCAACACTGTTGGCCATCTGTCTGTCCATACTGTGAAAACCTGAATGTGATGTTATGAATTCCCTATCTATGTTTGTCCCACAATCCTATTCAAAATGCATTTGAAACTGCTTCATGCTCTTTTTAACATTAATGGTACAGAGTAGAAAAGGGTGGGGGGGAAAAAAGCTATTAAGGCATTGCAAGGTTATTTAGTTCAAAATAACATAAACTAAGCTCTTCAAATTAATACCAGCACTCTCCACCCAGCAGCAGATGTGAAGTCCCAGCACAGCATTTCGAAACTCCAGGAATGCGTTTCGTTAGAGATACCAGAAGTTGTGAATTACATTTTATGTGAGCTCTGAGTTTTCACCTGCCTTGCTGCTGTGCAATACCCAAAATGTACGTCAACTGCATAACTTAAAAGAAGTTTATTCACAAAATCTCTTCCAAAAAGTTAAACTTCCTCTTTCAGGCATTCTCAGAAAAGTCTTGCAAGTTCCCTGCATGTTCATACTACCTCGTAGTATGAATGCCTGTTCCCTGAAAAAAAATGTTTAGTAAACACAGACCCCAAAAAATTAAAAATCACTGAATAAAAGGTTGCCATCTAATGTTTCAAATCCTTCCCAGAGTATCATACTAATTAAGAGAAACATTTGGAAGCCAAAAATAGTCTCACATTTGCACAATCATACCTCAATTCCAACCATCAGTACCTGGCAAATTCTCTGAATCTGTTCCAGCTGTGCGAGATGTTGAATGTAAAGATATCAATAGAGAGAGATGTGACAGAAGACGTCTCTGTGTGGGTCCCAGCTCAAGCCAAATGCACATAGCAAACCACAGAGACCATCTGGAAAACCAGGACTTTTTCTACATTTAGGTATGGTGCCTCCTAAATTTAGATACTCATTTAAGCTCAATTAAAGAGGCCAAAAGGAATCTATTTACCTACCAAGGCCTGTGGTTCATGGGTTTCTTCAATCATGTAAACCCAGTTAAAGGCAAGACTGACACAATTTCATTAAACAGTCCAGTTAGTGATTCAAACATTTTCCTCACTCATTTTCAGGCTCTGGTTTTCCCAGCATTAATTTTAATAGCGGGAAAACAACACTTTCTGAATTTACGTAACAAAGGATAGGCCTGGGCCAGTAAACCAGATCTTGCCTGTCCATCTCCATCTCACCCTGCTACCAGGAGAATGTTTCCTTGATCTGGTATTCTGCTTTTCCTCCTTGCCACCTTGCACAATCCACAGATTTTCTTTCATCACAACTGACAATTTATGAAAGGAAACTGTCTAGCCCAGAGTTATCTGAAATAACCATGCACTGAATGAGTTCTGTAATCAAATCACTCAAACATTGACCATCACCACAACTAACAACAAAGCCAACAGCATCCAGCAAGAGACTGCATCACCAATTTACTGCTGGTGTTCCTTTCCCTGTCTAGAGCACAGGTTTAGTGATCAGTGACAACACCATGGACAATACTCGCAAAGGGCAACATGTGAGTTCCTAGAAACTCTATAGAGGCAATCCTTAAACTGCCACCTGGTTACAGGAAAGAAGAATATTTGGTATATTTTCTCTGTTTAGTATTTCACCCTCTGTAGAGGCATCCCTCACCAAATAGCATTAACATTTCTCTACAACATGCATATGACACATGATATGTAAGGACTGAATTTAGAGAGAAGTTCAAGTTCAGATATTAAGGAATGAACGGTTAACATCTCCAAGTTCTCCAGCAGTGGGTCTCTCCGCATCACAAATGCCCCCCAAAAAAATGCCCCAAAAAACAAGGCATTCACTCACCTGAGCATCCTGCTCAACAAGACTCTCATCAACTCTGCCATCAGGATCTCTATTGGCCTGAAGAGAATTTTTAAAAGTTGTTAAACCAAAGAATCAAAAGTTGAATAAAAAAAAATCAGCTTATTTGTTACTTATAAGAGTTACTGCGAGAAATCAACCCCTAATGCACCTTCTCCAAAATCCCCTTAATTTTCCCTTCTGCTTGCATGTGTCTTTATGAAATCATGTTCTGTTCTCCTATTACCTTCAAAACTTCACATAGCAGGCATTCTGCTATACCCATAAGCACCACAAAAGTTTTTCAATCCAGTGATGTGGAAATAACCCATAACAGAGCTCAAGACTTGACCCTGCAAGTCAGGGGAAGTGACTCAGTTTCAGAACCACTCCTGCCTATCGCCAGGTCTATCCAGAATCCCAGGTGTGTAAGCAGAAGGTGACAAGTGTGCATCAGACAGGAAAACAGAAGTGAAAATCATACACATATGCATGCACACAGAGATACTGACCTGCAGCAGGACCACCAACATTCTCTGAAAATAGCCCGATGTTTCTCCTGTTATCTTATCCTCCAAGTTGGCCTCATACTCTGCAAAAGAGCAATACCCATTCACCACCTTACAGACTTCCTTACTATTTTGACAAGAAAAGTAAAGGTAATTTCATTCACAGCTTGTGGAATCATTTACCAGAAACAGCTTTAACAACTAGCATATATTCTGCCTTCACTTGTAACCTAACAATATTGCAAAAGAGGTGAAAAAAGCGCATCTCAGCCCTAGTATCAGGAAGAGATTACTCAAAATATTTTAAAATACAAGGTGACATGCATAGATTCAGCTCTTCAAGGAACAAAAGAGCATACAGGTCTGGAGTTATGCTAAAATACGGTAGACTCACAACTATACAACATGTGTGAGCCCAGAAAAGTCTAGTACTAGTAAATTTTGGCCTTGAGACCCTAAGTTTTGCCTCGAACTTTATTAAGACATGAGAAATTTTTGTGACAGAAATCTTAATGAGGTAGAAGAAATGTGCAGAATTAAATACTGCCCCCCCCCCCAAAAAAAAAAAAAACAAAACACCACCCCACAATTACAGGGTAAAAGCACAAGCTCCTGTGGACAATCAAAAAGCTGCAATTGCTTCAGCACAAATGTATTTGAACACAACACTGCGCAAAAGGCAAAAAAATCCCTTCTGTTTCTTCCTGTGATACCAGTGTTCTAGTTTACAATTACTAAAAATCCCCTTTCAGTCAAAGGGATGAAGAAAATGGGTGAAAAGGAAATGCATTTGAATGAATACTAACCATAAAGCACAGAACACCACAACCTGCATCCCAGTCATGGCCCCAAAATAGAAACCATTTTAGTTTACATTTCAAATTCAATGTTTCTTCGATATGAAGTTTTGCAACACCACAGCAAAACAAAATCCCACTTATTGGAGACATCCATCAGTTCACAGATAGACCTTATCTGAAACATGCACTGAAAACCTATTAAGAGAACTGAACGGAAACCCCAGAACTGAATTTTATACTGAACTTTACCTTGCAGATAAACCTGTTTAATATTCCGCACTTCTGCAGGTGTTCTGGAGGCAAGAATTTCAGTCAACACTTTCTCATTGGTTCCTGCTCCCTAGCAAGGTGCAAATATAAATCAGTTGGTGGAATAACAAAAGAAAAATAAGAATTCCCTTTGACAACCAAAAGCAAGAAGGATCAGCTTATACACCTGGACCAAACAAAGAAAAACTATCATCTTCTTATCTTGTAAATTGTGGGGGTTTTTGAAATAATTTCTTACAGTCACAGCTTGATTGTTTCCAAAACCAAACCGATGCTTAATAAAGGCTCACTGCTGCAGGATTCAGATGAAACCATCCATGTTCAAGCCAGACGTGCCTCAGTTCTTCACTGTTAGAATGACACCAAGGTAACTGAGTGAAGAGAGTAGCAGTTTCCCTCTCAGCTCTAGTCTTTCATCAACTAGTACACAGAGTCATCCAGCAATAATCTTTACCCTTCTATGAATTGTGCTATGTTAAACCCACTCTCTCCTCCACTTCAAACACACACAGTTGACAATATAATTGCTAACCCAGAGAGTTTAAGCTGCTGCGCTCTAATTACAGCAGGCTCAACAGGCACTCTTCACTTTTACAAGGACAAAATTCACAAAAGCCAAGGCAGTATCTTGCTTCCACAAGTCTGAGTCTACTTTGCCTGTAAGAATAAGCCATTGCTGTCTATGCTTCCAAAGGAGTCATTTCACAAAAGCAACACTGAAATACAGTACTGTGTATTTTTCCCTTCAGCGTGTTATTTACAATCCTTCCTACAAGGAAAATCTGAATACTAAGTGCATACAAAGATATCCACAACACAAATCTGCCAGGTTACATGTAATCATTTTCAAAATACAGATTGTTTCAAGAACACGGCTACTCAACAAGTGAGGCAGGCACAGTTATATTAGTTCTAATCTAAGTAGCAGCAGTGTAAATTGATAGGATCATCTTCAGCACAGATGTAATGCTCTTAGCTGAGTTGTTATCATGCACTGAAGTCTCTGCTATCACGTCTTTACTGTTATCCACCTTAGCTGAACTGCAGCTGGTATCAACATCCTTTCCTGTGCAGAAACATTCTCTGAAATTCTATGATTTTGTGTTTAATATTATTTTTTGTAAGTGACAAGAACAAAACCACTCTTGTTTCACTATCTCTATTTTCCCTCCTACACCTATCTGCTCTGTCGTTTCCCTGTCGGTCTTTGACTCGTAAGTCAACAAGAGGAGCTTGGGAATACATACTTTTCTTTTAGCCAACAAGGCTTTTATCAGTTTCTTTGTCAGGTGCCATCTCCCCTTCCCCCACTGCATATAAAGACATTACAGAATATTTCCAGGATTAAAGTTTCTGTTGTCTGAGATACTATTTGCTGGGTCATGGGTTCATGAGCACTACCTTGCACAGTTGACCAAAGCCTACAGATTAACCAGTTTGTCATCAGGATCTTGGGAGTTTATGTGTAAATGCCACCCGACCAAGAATTAGCTAGCACTAGTCAAGTTCAATGTCCTCTACTTTAATCAAAAGGTTCTGTGAATAATCCAGGGACATCCAATTCCTGAATTTCCACAGGCTGACAATACCAGACAGGTATGACAGAGGGAAAAAACCAAAAACAACCATAGGACCACATGCAAGAAAACACAGTAAAATACCTACACGTACAGATTGTAAATTGTTTATCTGGCCTTCCCAGAAAGGCACTAAATGCATTCAGCTAAAAAGAGAAATGTTAGAAATGTAACGCTGACAGGGCTATCAACTCTTCCCTCTGTGTTCCTGAAGGCAGCCTTTAGAACACATTCAATAATACAGAAAATTCTGGCTCATAATTTTGGTGCTGGACATCAGTTTACACAAGTATGTTAGCCCATCAATTTTGGGGTTCTACTGTAATCCATCAGGTGCAAAATGCTTTATAGCTTAAATAATAGTTAAGAAGAGACAGACAAAAAAAATCACACTTTAATTAAATGCCTTGAACTAATTTGCAGCCTAGGCGTACAGCTGTATAGCTATCAAACCTCAGTTTCTCACAGCAGAAAAATCTACTCTACTGGACTCCAGCACTGCACCTCCACAGCAAAAAAGAATTTAAAAGCAACGTGCAGATCTGCTCATTCTATTTAAATCAGAAGGAACAAGTCTTATGCTACATAGATTTTAACCTGCATTTACAATGACACTGTTCTTTTAAAATTAGTTTCTCATTAAAATAATTCCACATAAAACATTATACAGACTAGATTTCTAAATTGCCTCTAATGAGCTACTATGTTGAATAAGAAACCAGGCAGAACTATGGTATTAGCAATAATAGCAGGTGTTAGCATAACATTCCTAACTTAAGAAAAAAAAAAAGCTATTTCTATTAGCACTCCCCTTACTAACTGAAAGTTCATTCCTAAAAACAAGAGAAAAACAAACATTTCATATAACGTATTAATTCCCTTCCCTCAGTCCTCTTACCTTGATGGCGTGCTTCAGTGCATGAGCATCAAAAATATATGTTGGTCTCATCAAAGACACCATCAACGTTTCAAATTTGCCGGTAAGTTCTGATTTCAAGTCATCTACAAGATCCTAATGCAGAACAAACAGGGCTGTAAGGAACAAGTACTAACCATTTTAAATGGATGCATGTGTGTCCACAAGCTAGAAGACTGATAACACATCAAGAAGCACAAGGGATAGGGCTCTTTTCGTTTTAATTGGTACCTAAACTGAAACAAATGTAGCCAAATAAGGCAGAAGAAAAGGATATATGGGCATTTGGAAAATCCAAAACATAATGGGATTTCTTTTTTTCCAGTATAGAAATTCTTTAAGCCCTAGATGCCCACTGCACTCGCTACTTGAACCAAAGGTTACCCACTCAGAGTACTGAAGGATCCCACAATGCTGGAAGAAAGAAACAAGCTCTTTGCTTTGAACTCACTTATGGCTTTGTCTACCAATATGTTTGCTTTTGTTCTCTCCTACAGTATTAGGCTGCTTTATTTCTGACACATTTTCTAGCTCTAGAACATTCTTCTCCTGCTATCACCTTCCATTTCAGACCTTGCATCAAAATATTTGGTAACTCCTTCCATACTGAGAAGGAGATCAGTACTAGAAACATACTAAAAGGAAGCTATACGAGCCTTTGCATAAAACTCCATCTAAGACATATTGAACTAAAATACAGAAAAAGAAAGTAACTCCTTTGTGCTAATCTAGAAGGAATATTCTAACCTAGACAGCATTAAAGGATATGGTAGGGTGGGGGAGAGGGGGAGAAAGAAGCAAAACTAGATTTTCTTCAAAGGAACCTTTTACAGAGAGTGTGATGAATGTGCCTCACAGTTTCAAGTAGTCATCATAAGCCACATTCAGCTCATTTCTACAGTTATTTTTCTCACCCTGCCAAATAAGGTTTTAAAGGCAGATGCAATTTCTTGACGCTGAGCATTGTTTCTGCTGGTAAGGATCTTCAGAATAGTTTCTTCATCAGTCCCTGAAGTTAGAAAGAACAAAGAGTTACACTCTAAAACAAAAACAGCAGTGGCACAAACTCAACAGGCAATGAAAGATGCTTTGAAAATAGCTGCCTACTGACAAACAGCAGAAGCATTTAAATAACAAGTGTCACCATACCCCAAGCTGAGCCACCAGGTTTGGTGTTCTGCTGTTGCAAAAAAATAGAGCTGGAGGACCTACGCATTGTTTGTTCTCCATCAGCGTTGTTTGTTCCCCATCAGCGCTCTGTTCCAGACACTGCTCCCTGCACCCCAGGCATTAGCTGTAACATGTAGTCACAATCTGTGCTCTACAGAGGAGTCTTGCCTTTGGGCTCACCAAGGGATTTACTTTAGAATAAATAATCTGCAGACTCCCAGCAAAACTCAGTCTAGTAACCCCAAATAGCCCAGAGTAGAGAAGTACAGAGCTATCATCCATTTTATGCAGGATAATTTGCAAAGTAGCCCTAACAGCTCAGCATCTTACTAGCCCTACTGATTTGTCAATAGGCTGAGGGTGTACCCCATTTCCCTTCCTTCTGCTTCCTCCCACAGGCAGCTGCAAATAAAGTACCAAATTAGCATTTGACACTTGTTAGTCTACATTCATGCTGTGTGCTTGTATTCTTTGTTCACAGTAACTACAATGTGCTTACACACTTCTAGATCACGGGGACTGTCGCACATTCTCCAAGCACAGAGCTTCTTACTACACTGTCATAATTCTCCATAGTTGTCACCTGTAAATTCATAGCCTAGGTTACTGTGCAGTAAAACCCCGTGTGCAGAGAAGCCTGTGCAGTATCAATTTTTAATGGGGAATGTGCAAACCACCTTTTTTCCCTTATGCTAACCTAAAAGTTACATCCTTGAGAGCTGCACAGTCAGAACTAGGACACGCCCAGATTTCTGCTGTCCTGGGGTTGTCATTCCATGGCGTGTAGACACAAGCCCTAGCTTCATCTGCTAATATTAAAAAAAAAAAAAAAAGGCTTCACAAAGGATGTTTTCAAAGCAGGAGTGAAAGCCCTTTCCTTTTTGTAAAATAAATTACTCTTACCCATTCCCTTCATGGCCTTACGAAGGGCTTCTGCGTCAGCTCTGGCATCAAAAGGAGAGAAGGCTGTCACGGTGCCTCTTGTGTACTAGAGAGGAAAAAAAAAGGGGTGGGGGGGAAAAGGAAAAAGCTGTGAAATAGAAGATGGCATCTTTCAGTTCTCCCTATGTGAGCTCAGAATAAATTTGAATCCATGATCCAAAAGATGACAGCATCTTTCTTGTAACTGTCTGACTAAATAGCAGCCTGTGTTTATTTAAACATAGCTCTTACTCAAAAGGTACTACTATGGTTTTACTTGGCAGTACACCAGCTAATTTCAGGTATATTTACACAATGGCAGTTTGCAGGATTGGTATTTACAACACTGGAGCCTGTATGCAGGAAAATGACTAAGAAGCTATCATTTGTTAAAGTAATTCAGGAAATTGCACAAATCACCTATGCTAGAAAAGCTGCACAAAGATCCAAGACATGTTTGGAAATAAGAACTTCCACACATCAAGAAAAACCTACTGGAGCTTTCAACCAGTATCACACTGATTTTCTTCTGTCACATTGCAAATGAAGACCTACTGAACTCTCTGATCATTTTCAATATTTCATTATATTTCTTTTGGTATAAGCAACTTTTTACTCAAGTGATTCAGCTACATTTCTCATAGTAGTTTACAGCTAAAAAGAAATAACAGTTCAAATATAAGGATAAAAGATCAGCCCATCCAAACACAAAAATAATTCCACTAGGTTTCCATGGAACATGGCTCTTCAGGGAGTTTCTCTTTGGGTCAAACACAAAAGGATATTCATCACCCTTATGCAAAAATCTTGCCTTTATTTAATCATGACAGTTCAAGAACCTGTATGTGAATAGTACAGTAGTTAATTTATACAAGTCAAGCAATGGCCAAAAGGGGAAACAGCTGGGCTTTGGGAATAGGGAACTTTTTCTAACAGGTGAAGGGAAACTTCTTGTAAGCACTGCTGTACAAAAGTAGTGATCAGTACAGGCAGGGCATTTTTCCACCCTCAAGAGTATGAAAGGAAGTGCCAAAACACCAATTGAGACCAGCACCAGATTACTTCACAGGCAGCACAGCCATCTGGCCTCTGGGATCCAGCCTTTCCCTCCTGTTAGCAATTTCAGCCACACAGTGCTTTGGTTTCAAGTCAACGCACTCATCCAAGACAGGTCAGCCAGAAGAGCATGGGGAGAAAAGAGCTGGCGAGCACTAACCAGAAACTGCCCCTAAGCACTGCTGCCTCTCAGGCCACCTGAGTGTTACGGCCATCAGAGACTGTCCCCCCCCACTGCAGAAGCAGTAATGGCCATGTCTCAGAAAATCAGAACACACGGTATCATGGTGTTTAACGGCAACAAACTTCTTTCTGGTAGGTGTTTTCCAATATCCAGCATACTTCAGAGGCGTGACCATTTTTCTGAAGCGTTCTGCTTTTCCCATTACAAGGAAATTTTTAGGCAGTAGTTCAAACTTAGGCACAGCAATATGTACTTACTGTGGTTTTCCAAGCTAATTCCAAAGGCTAACATGAAAAAAAGGATTTGGAGCTCAATTTTATACATTGAATGTAATTTGGTAAAACAGATAAAGACTGACAGGCCTCTGTCTTCCTATTCCTCCCCTTACTACACCAGCCAGCATGGGGTTATTTAAAGAGGTATTTCCTGCTGTTTTGTTTCATATTATCTTAACCTAATTGTACAGAACTACCACAGTTCTCTTTTGGAAACGACCAATGGACAACAGATCTGAGAGAAAATAGTTATTGATCTTTGAGATGAAGTGTTCCTTTGCTTATCTTGTTATAAGCAAGTGGAATTCCCCTTCACAATTCCTAAGTCTTGTGACAAGAGCCCAGCATTCCTCTGGGGCTGTTTTAGACGACATACATGTGAACACTAAATGCTAGATGAAACCTAACTCTGCATCATCTGTCTCATTTTTGTTAACCAAGAAGAATCCTTCCATAATCTCTTTTCACAGAATGTTAGAGATTGGAAGGGACCTCGAAAGATCATCTAGTCCAATCCCCCTGCCGGAGCAGGAACACCCAGATCAGATCACACAGGAACACATCCAGGCGGGCTTTGAATGTCTCCAGAGAAGGAGACTCCACAACCTCTCTGGGCAGCCTGTTCCAGTGCTCTGTCACCCTCACTGTAAAGAAGTTTTTCCTCATGTTCAAGTGGAACCTCCTATGTTCCAAAGCACTGTGCAGAAAGCTTCAACATACACCAAGTTTGTTGAACAGTTCCTGAAATTCTTCTGCTGCAGCTATCACCCGAGTGAGTTTTCTCAATGTCTGGGCACCATTTGCATTGCAGGCGTTCCCTTCTGACGCACAGTGTTTACTGGATTTTGGCTACCTACCTTCCACAATCACCCTCAATCACTACTGGAGCTGCACCTAGCTTGCAAACCAGAAATATTGCTGCAGCTCTGCCATCCAGCATAACAGAAACCACGTCACCTGGGTACCCCAAAGATGGCAGCTACAATGGCAGAATCTCCAGCACATACGCTGCCCTTGATACTACAAGCTGATGCAAACAGAGCACGACCACCCCAGACAAGCTTGTGGATGTAGCTTTATAGGCTGGAGTCCAACCTCCAGTCCAAGTGCCTTCAGAAGCCACATGCGGTAAGATGTGGCACTGACAATAGCTGGCCCATCACTGGGAAAGTATCAAGCCATCCCTAAACTTTCATGTCGGAAACCTACTCACTTAGCTTCTTAGAGCCCTGCAGTGTGACCTGGCAGTCAGGAAATACTCGGGCATACCATGTTCCACCACCACAAATCCATCTCACACACCTTCTGTCCAGAAGCACCCTCACTAGTTATTCCAGCCCCATGTTCTCATTTGGAAATGCAGCACCAGGGCAGAAAGCTCTGCAGTGGTTAACAAACTCAGTCCATGGGGGGAAGAGCTGTCCCCTCCTTCCCAAACATGTCACCTTTCGGCCAGAGAAAGGGCAGGTGAGTACCTGTTCTCAACCACCACCACTGCCTGAACCACCGAAGTCAACTTTCAGTCACGGACAATCTGAAGCAGGAGCTACGAACCACATGTTTCTAACAAAATAATAGATCCATACAAAAGAGTTTCTGACAAAAGCCAGACACCCATTTATCAGACAACTAAGCTACCATTTCAATAAACTTTATCAGAACAAAATGGTTCTTGCAGACGGAACACAGCATCACAACTGCTACGCCATCCTGACCTGACATGAAAAACAACAAACTGAAAGACAACTATCTAAAATTTATTTACAGTCTTCATAACTTTTTAATAGAGATAAATAAATTGTGGTATTTTTAGTATCTCTAAGAATACTCCTCGCCATTTATGCACATAGATACACAGTAACACTACTACAGCCCCATAGGCTGTTTTTATTTTGGTTAGTAAGTTTCCCATCTAGTAGAACCAAAGCACATCAATGGAAAGCAGAACACAAATAGGCTTTGATATAAACCCACTTGTAATCAGGAGTGATCCCTTACTAAACAGCAACACCCTACACTGGGCAGTAAAATACAAAGAGAAGGACAACAGGCAAGACCTCAAAAAAAATAACCCCACAATATTATAACACCCAAAACCTGCCTACTTTCTTTTTTTTCCTATATTACCCAATGCATTGACTGCTCTACAATCATATGTAACACAAGTGCAATTTGTGATTATACACTAGAAATAACAGCAGCTTCCATTTTCTCCAGGCACCTACCAACAAGACTAACATCTAGATGCACAAAATTAGCATGAAGAGGAAAGGCAGAGGAAAGAAAGAAAAAACAAATAAACAAAACTTCAAAGCAAGGGATTATCTAGCTTTAGAATTTATGACCCTCCAAATGAGGAAATTCACAAATACACATTTCTGTTATTTGCATTTATTCTGCTCCAGCAAAATTTGCAGAAGGACAAGACCACCCAGTATCATCAGGTGAGATTTTCCTAACCAGAATCTCAGAGCTACGTTAACTTCTCCCAAGAGACAGCCTGGTTTCACAATTTGATGTCATGAGGCCACATATCCTGGCAACAGCATTATCTGTAAGATCAACAATAGCCACTTAACGAGGTTCCTTTTAATTTTTCCCACCAAGCACACGAAAAAAATTCCACCCACAAGATCCCGTGTTTAGCCACTGTTAAATACAAAACATTCATTATCAGCAAACAAAAGACCATGCTTGAACTGATTCAGACTTCTTCCCGGACACCCTTGCTCTGTACGCACTCACAGCCCGGTGTCCCACGCATGAAGAGCTATCCCCCTTTTCATGATCCTGCTCTGCAGCAACAAAAGTGGGGTCTCACCAATGTGCTATTGGAAAGCCCACCAGTGTCTAGTGCAGAGAAGGTAGTATGTGAGTATGTGAGCTTTTTTTTTCTTTTTCTTTTCTCTTTTTTTTTATTTTTAAAGCAGCCATTTGTTTAGAAGATGTCACAGGAAAACTGCGGAGTGCTCAGAATGGAAATGGAGAACATTTTCCAGCACACAGGTTGACAAACAGAGAAGGGACGCTATTTTCAGAAGACAGAAGAGAGCCCAGGTGGTCATGTGATAGAATAAATGAAAGACTGTCTTAAGATTTCTTACCCAAGAACAGCCACCTTGCAGATAAAGCACTACACAGCGCTCACTGGTAAATCCAGAGCCTTTGCAGGCACTGAACCACACAGAGATCCCAGTTCAAACTCTGCTTTAAAACTAACATCGTGTAAAAAATGTATAACCTACTTCATTACATCATTACAAAAATTTCAAGGGCAGCAGGACATAAATTACACTGTGAGTGGATGAGTATAGGCACAGCGCTGATGCAAACACACAACTATAAAGACTTCTCCACTAAACACCTCTATAAGTTTAGTAATGCTTCAGATTGGCCACTTAAATGGAAAGAGTAAGCTCTAGTCGGCAGACTATATTCACATCTAAATTTAAACTCCTGACAAAAAAACAGAATTACACAACACCTGTGTTGAACTCTGTGTCAGTACACCATGACATTCCAAAGATAGGGAGGAAAGATTAAAAAAAAAAA